TATTATTTGATGGCGTTAAAGATTCACAATTTAAATGAATCCGTATAATTGTTTTCCTATGTAATATTGAAGATAGGGAGTATTTGCTGATTAAAATATGATATGACATGTTTAGTTTTATTAGTTTCATTAGCCATTGTGAAGTAAACGAATGCGGATACAATTACTTGCACATTTAACGTAGATGGAGATTTTTTAAAACTCTTTTTAGATGACCGACAATTAACTGGAAGATCATTTACATATTGTTTTTCGTTAAATAACTACAAGGCGCGATAAAATGATATATTTTAACGTCATTGGAAATATTCAAACAGATAGAAATGCCTTACCTATTGCTCTAAGTTTTTGCAGACATTGGGATTATTGGGACATTTTATGGGGAAAAATAGCTATAATTGAATCATTCAGACTTACAAATTCACCAATTAGCAAACACCAAAACAAAGAAATAAAACTGACATGCTTTGTAGGTTCATTTTTCTGCCCGACTTTGTTGTCTCATGAAGCTTACCAAACGATTAGACCCAAATTGAAAACATGTTATTTCTTTATCAAATGTTTTTAAACAACGCGTGTTTCACGTCTTAAGTATAATTGATATCCAAATAACTTTCTACATTCCTACATTCCTTCTCTCTGAAGTAGCGAAAACTTACAGGCTCCATACTAGAATTATCATTTAATCTAAGGAAATTGTGTTTATTTAACTTGTTTTAAATAATAACAAGTCAGTACACTTATCAAAATTACCAAATTGTCCGTAGTTTTATCGGAAAGTAATTTTCGCCTCAAAACTGCCTGGATCAAGAAAAGGTTAATAAAGAAATTATATTACGAAATAACAATCTTAGAAATATTCATAAAGTAATTTCTTAAAAGATTAACTCTCCGTCCCTTAGAACAAATTATTAATTTAAATATTTGAAGCAAATATTTGAACAGTACTTTGGTTAATTCTTATAAGGAGAAGTCGAATTAGAGAACATTGTCAATATAAGCAAAGCAATTATTATATGGCGGCTTGGCCCCATGTTCCCTAATGACGAAAAAAATAAATATTTCTTTCGTTATATTCTAACTTAGATTCCTCTAAATGGTGAACCTTTTATGTACTCATAGACTTTGTCTTAGGACTCAATTTAAACGTCTATAAAAGTGACTGTAAAATATAATTAATTTGACATTGATGATTATTTGCAATGAGTATTGCGTCTGTGTATTACTTCAAACGGATTACTAACGAGAGAGACCCGCGAGAAAATAGCCGTATATCTCGTTCCATTCAATATCATATACTATAAAAATAAATAAATGAATGAAAAAATATCTTGTTTAATATATTGTTTTCAGGTCTTTACGGCAATGTTTGGTGATTACCTTTTTTAATGGAAGACTGTTTTTGCAAAGGCGTAAAATAAAATGTTTATGTTATATTTATTAGAAACAAATGATCCATTAAAACCCCCCCAAAACAAGTTGCGTTTCTTACGAGAGCTAAGTTACACTCATTGTAAGTCAATATATTCCAATTCGCGAGGAAACAGGCGTATATAACGTTACATTGAAGATTATCTATTATTAAAGACAAATGCATTAAACAATACCTAATTGTAAAAAGAAACATTTGCTACAGAGAGTTTTTCAAATGTGCTTTTATAGAAACAAGTTATTGTATTTATTAGAAACAATAAGTCACATTTAAAATCAAGTTCAGATATAAATGCCAAAAACTAACAAATAAATTACTGCGCCAAAATAATGTTGGGGCCATTTAGATGAATCTGAAGAAAACCTTTTAAAATATCATTTTGTTTTTAAAATTCTTCTTTTAAGTAAAAATAAAGCGGCTTTTGTGTCGTTTTATGCCACTATTGCTATTTTAACATTGGTTACATATGTATCTATCCACAAGGCGTATATCAACTATTTCCACCCCACTTGTGAGTATTTACAGTAGCTTAGCGCGACATAGTAACTAAAAAGATAGAATTCTAGCTTTGCATAACTTGAAACGGATTTGCTTTCCACCTTAGCAAAAGCTTTATTCGAGTGAGATTACAAGTATAAATCTGCAGTTTTAATGAGAAATGTAGCAAAATAAAAAAGTTGCCTTCAATCATTTCTTTGAATACTTCAAATGTAGTGTTTACCCGTTGCAAATAGAACTGTAATTAGTAATAATATATAGTTTTGAAGCTGATTCCGCAAGTACCGTTTCTCATCAATATATTTTCTTCTGAATGAAGACTAACAGCTTTTTTAGTTAAGTAAAATATTATCTCAATCACAGATGGATTAACATGTTCTGGAGAAAAACCAAGCAGCTATTTTCTCAGTATACTTAACAATCACGGTAAGTTTATTGGCCAATACTTACTGTAAATATAGTTAAAGAGGTAATGTGAATTTACAAGATTACATATCTAAAGCAAGTTAATAGGCGGTTTTAAGCAACCGAGTTTTGATACTAATATCAGTGCGGTGAAAATGAGTCGTTTTCCCATATGAATAGTTGGCAATACGTCAGTTAGTGATATGATTAGTTGATAGCGAACTCGGGCAATCAATCGGTTAGTTAAATGAATACAGCAGGAAGCGATTTTACGAGCGATACTAAAAACTAATCCCTATGGAAATATGCTATTAATTCGATTCAAGTTACATTCTTATAAAACATACAGTCATTTAAGCAGAAGTACCATGATTAAGTGTGCTAAATGGCTAACATTACGAAATTACTAATGTTTTTGTATACATGAAGGGATTTTGTTGGTAATGTATTTCACAGGGTTAGAAAATGTGAATTCTAGGGAAGAGACTCGAACCTTGGACACTCGTTATACCGTACCACTGCTCTACTGGCTGATCCATCCAGTTGCTAACACTTTATCTTCTAGAATTTTAAATGAATCGTGTGTTTGTTTCAGATTAAGTCATTTTCATTTAACACAACGCAGACAATATACATCAAAGAATCATAATGTAATAAAACGACAATGCGAATTTATCCCAATGGAAAGATCTCGTTAACGTAATTGAAGCCATGTCCAATAAAACTGACCATCGATTACAGGATTAATCTCTCATTATCAATAACTTGTGTTTGTAGCTAAATAACATGTATGGCTGATTGTTGTCTGATTATTGTATGTATTTGTTTCTACGTGTCTGGAAGACTAGTGCGCTAGATTTTTAGGAACAATTAACAAGCATAAATATTACATTTCACATATACATGTATATAAAGTAATAATAAATATTACATGCTTTATCATGCAATTGTATAATTTTTATTGTGATTTGATAGTTTTGGCGAGTTATATTTGCACTTTGAAGAATAACAGATAATAAAGCATGGAAATGTCAGTAAAAAAACACTATATCGCAAGTAAAAATGTTCATGTATATAATATCTGCAAACGACAAAATACCTTTTTGAAAGAAAAATGTTTCGTTAAGAGCGAATGGCTTATGAATGGAATCATTTGTAAAAAGATTTAAAAAAATAACCCAAAAAATAACAGCATAACATTTTGTTCAGGTGTGGCGTGAATTTTGTCAGACCCGTGAGAAACGTAAGACTTTACGTTCTGTCCATGCGCAGGTAGTTGTCGGACGGGGCCGTGAGAAATGTAAGACTTTCTGGTACAATTGTGTGTTAACCTCATTTAGAAGCTTATAAATTAATCCAAGTGTAGTTCTTCCTTTTATTCATGAGCATAGAGATATTTTCTACGATACCAACTTTTATTTATCTGTGACAACCTATCGTGTGGATGAAATTTTGTCCAAATCAGTGGCAGTCTTTCGACATCGTTCGTTCCCGATGTCGAGTTGATGGAAAATCCTGGAAAATCTAAGAGCTTTGATCGAGGTAAGCTTGTTTTGATATTTTATATTAGAATGTGGTTATTTCAAGCATCGATGAAAGTATGTTAGCTTTTATTAATGCTTACCTGCTTACAGGTACTGTAGGCCATGTCAGTCTGTTTTAAGAAATGGGCGGTATGTAGCTCAACCTTTCGTTTCTTAATTTTGTTTTAGCCGACCAGTCAGCCGATATTTGTAGATCGAGGGGTATGGCACACTTAAGTTTACTAATATATTGTCTAATTATATGTATTTGATTTGAATAACAGTCGGCTCGGCAAATAACTAATAAAAGTATTTTCATTAAACCCCATAACAGTTGTTTCCATAATCTTTTTTGGTTGTTTTTAGAAAGAGCTTTTTACATTACATTTTTCTGAAATTTAACACATATGGATATTGTTCGTTAATAAAAATAAAATATGTCGGAACAAAAAATTGTGCTGCTTAATTAATAATTCTGTGGAGACATTCTGTGTTACAACCCTTTCGAAGATACCATCAGATTATGAAAATATAATTATTTTACCGTTTATAAATTTGTCATGAGATATAGCTTTATACCATTTAACATAAAGATCGCAAACTTATGATCTCGTAACATCTTTAAGCACACACGCATAACACAACTGTACCAAAATCAGCAAAATACCAATGTCAATCAGTGAGGTTCAAAAGCTTAAACCTTAAATTTTAAAAATCATAATGTCTCATCTTTTATACTTAAAAGGATAAAAAAATCATAAGCTATATACTTTAAGGTAAATTTTTAGATCGGTATCAGTTAAAAGCGATAACTTAATACAATTTTAAAACAAGGCTGTTTAACGCAAGAAATAAGATACTTCTGGGAAATTATGTGAGTGAATAATCTGAAATTTAGCTTAAAAATACCGGTATAGAATTATATTAAAATGTACCATTATTTCGAAATAATTCAGTCCTACCGAATAAAAAAAACGTCTGTCGAGTCGTTTTAAATTTTCATGCATGACATGAATAGAAAACATGCATAGCCTAGTTTATAAGTAAGATGAAATTATCGTTCCAACATTAATTTGATATCTACCACTAAGTGTTTTTTTCTGAATTTCAATTCACGTGTAACTTAAATAGCAGTAAAAATGAAATTTCATTCCTTTTGGAAGATTGAAATAACTACAGGGAATAATATGTTGGATAAGATTAAAGCTTAATAATTTCCATGAGTTTTTTTGTGATTATGTTTGTTACGCCAATTTTAACACAAAATCTTTGGTCATATCTCGATGGCCGATTCACCTTATAGTCTGTCCAAAATAGCTAAATAATAATGATTACCAATGCAATGTTACCATGTGAAATCCTGACTGAATTAATGTTATTGATATAACTCCAAAATCACTAAAGTATGAGTTTTGCAAATGTAACTCATAAACGTAATTTCTTAAAGATGACTTAAGAATGATGGTCACTCGTATGCTTTATATGAGGTTTATGTCTGCACACTAAAACAGGAACGTCAGCATGATGTAAGCAATAATCGCTCACACTTCCGGTAAATGTTCTTCTGATTAAACCCATTCCCCTTGTTCCTAATATCAACATTGATGCACCCTCTTCTTTTGCCGCCTCTACAATAGCTTCTCCCGGTTTACCACACTGTTGTTTTACATGACCACTTAACTGAAAAAGAAGGAAAAAGAACAAATAAACCAACGTATGTGGACCGGATTCTGTATTAAAATTTGGAATACGTCTTCCTTTTTTAATAAACTACACGTTTTAAGCGTCGAATTTTATTGGTTAATAGCTATATGTATATATTTCATCTATGTTCACAGCTCCTGTGAAATTGAACAATAAAAAAGCAATTGCGCAGTATAAAATATTTCCTGTTGATACCTACATAAGTTTAGTGCTCGCCAATTTTTTTAAGCCAATCACCGACGAGGACTTTTCAAATTTTCAGGTTTCAAAGCTTAATAGAACAGATTTTATATAAACTGGACGTTTTATATTATAAAACGCAAGTGGGCGGAGCTAAGTTTTGAAGAGCGCTAAAGTGAAATGTACACATGTGCAGAGATCTTGAAGTTTACTCCTACTAATCAATATTTATGCATCATGTTTTGCCGTACACGCACATGTATATCGTCACTACAAAAAGAGGTTCATTGGAATGAAAACAGGCAAAATAACAGTAAAAATGTTTTATTACTTACGGAACCAGTATCATTTTATAATTTCCAAATAAAAAGTTCACTTATTCCAACAAAGTATGTATGTAATAATTTTTACTTTTTATGTAAATATTACAGCCCGTGCAGCTGCAAAACCGAAAGTAAGGTTTTTTTTATTAATTTTACAATATACTGCCATTTGACCGAAGATGATATGTATATGAACATAATAAATATGCATGATGCATATATAATCAAGCTACAGGTTCATTTCAGCCCGAAAAATATGTCGAGGTGACGGGCGAGGCAAGACATGTCGACTTTTTGTAGCTTATTGTGAAGTTGCAGTACATGAAAATCGTGCACATGACAAATCAGCACATTAATAAAACATTCAAGTGTTCCGTGGTATACATCTTTTCTATGTCATACCTCCTTTCCTTATTACAATAAATTTTTACTGCATTGTTATCCATCGCTGGTTTGTTTTTAGCAGAGAATGACCTGTGTATGTTCAAAGAGGGTACCGTTTGAGATTATTTCTTAGGGTACCGATATGGATATGCACCGTGATATTGTCTGATTTACCTAGACAGAAACCTGCACTCTAACCTATACTCACTATCGGTTATACAGGGCCGTATTAAAGTCTTAAATCCTTATGACTAGTAATCTTATGGTAACTTTTTATATCTTAATACTTGGATTATTGTCAAACCTTTTTTCCAGAGAAAATTAAAACAATTATTTTTATACAAGGAAACGAAGTATTTTCATTACAATCTTTTAAATATCAGAATTGCAATTCTATGTAAACTGTATCTTCAACTCAATGTCTTACGTGGCTTTCCTTCATTTTCACAGAATATTTCTCGATGAGCTCGTGGATACTTTCTTCGTTATCTTTTAAGAGATCAGACACAATAGTTGGATCAGTCAACAGTGATGCTGAAAATTGAAACAAATTTAGAAATGTGTATCGGCTGCGTATACGATCTAATTAGTAAACAACTCGACGATGTTCTGTTATGAAGAACGCACCATGTGTAAGCATACTTTTGAGAAAATGGTTATATTAATGAAGGTAATGAAAAATATAAGTTCATAACTGAAAATGAACGCTAATGACAAGAGAGAAGTTATCATATTAAATTTAAAAAAAACATTCAGATACAAAAACATCCGAAGCAAACACTATTTCACGAGTCAAATTTATTATGAACTTTGACCGGTATCACTTTTATTAATGTGGTCGAAAGGGATGCCTACATCAATAATACACACTCTTTATGAATTTGTCCTTTTTTAATGTGTTATGATAATCTTATGCCAAATCTTTCAAATTTTCAAATTATATCTGTCATTTTATTTACATATCACATATTTTTATTATTGCAATGGAGTAATTGTATAATACATATGCAGTAAATAAATGATAAAAGTTTGGTTTTACGGCGAGTTGATATACTAAGGCCATAGTCCGAAAAACTAACCTACAGTTATAAGAGAATAAATCGTATTAACATACAGTCTTTTCACAGAGTTATCAATTGAAAACGATAAATTTGACAATTCCTTTGATAAAAGAAAATGATTTACAACATATGCAAAACACTTTGCTCCTCCCTTTTGGCTGTTGAAACTGTTTGTTTGCTTATAAGAAACTATACTTACATGTAGATAATATGTGGCTATATTCTGGTACATGCACAAGGACTATCCGATCTCCATCTTTATGTACATTGTTCACATAAACTAAAATCAAACAAAAACTGCGCAATTAAAAGTCGTTAAATCACAAGTCGTTATTAAAGTTTAATATTTCAACTTTGAAAATCTAAGTATATCATTACTCACCATTTATAGCACAAAGGAAATTGAATGCTAAGTTTTAACCGCATTACGATGCTTGTTTTAATGCAAAACAGCTTTTCCATATGCATTGTTTTATTACAAATGTTTCTAAATATAACAAAAGCTTGAAAAACGGTGATATATTATTGTGTGTTTTTTCCAGTTTGAAGGAATATCATGTTCTACATTGTTTCATATAGACTTACATAAATTATAAAATACAAGATCAACAAGGAAGGGAGTTATTCAAGGAACGCATGCCCTAACGCAAGACCACCGACAAGGAGCCCAGTAGCACACGGGCACGCGGCAAAAGCCAGAGGTTCGCTTTATATTCTC